ACTCCACACCCTCCCTGGGCAGCCTGTGCCAGGGATCTGCCACCCTCACAGGAAAGAAGTTCCTCCTCACATGCAGATAGAACTTCCTATGTTTCGACTTGTATCCATTGCTCCTTGTCCTGTCGCTGGCCACCACTCTTTGGTCCCTTCCTTCCCACATTCTCTGCTCAGATATTTGTACATGTTGATAAGATTCCCTCTCAATCTTCTCTTCTCCAGGGGAAAAAGGCCCAACTCACTCAGTCTCTCCTTGTATAAAAGATGCTCCAGGCCCTTAATCATCTTGGTTGCCCTCTGCTGGACGCTCTCTAGATGCTCCTCATCCCTCATCCCAGAGCTGCTCTCAATACTCCAGGTTTGGCCTCCCCAGAGCTGAGCAGAGGGGCAGGATCCCCTCCCTGCCCCTGCTGCCAACATCCTCCTSATGCAGCCAGGAKCCCATTGGCCTTCTTGGCCACGAGGGCACTGCTGCCTCATGGCTAACTTGGTGTCCACCAGGACTCCCAGGTCCCTCTCCGTGGAGCTGCTCTCCAGCAGGTCGAGCCCTAATCTGTACTGGTGCCTGAGGTTATTCCTGACCAGGGGCAGGACCCTGCACTTGCCCTTGTTGAATCTCATGAAATTCCTCTCTATTCCTCTCTGTCCAACTCTCCAGCCTGTCTAGGTCCCTTTAAATGGCAGCACAAGTAGCACGAGATCATGCGCAGATGATATCCTTCTCACTGACTTAAATTGAGTGTACTTATTATTTGATAGTTTGCTTTTCTTTACCTATGATCTTTTGATTTATTTTCATATGGCCTTTTTTTCCACTAAGGTACAAGCATGTAAATTTCCATGATAATGGAACTGTTACATTTCAGAATTTAGGCCAGAAAGTATTGTATTTTTTTTTTAACTCAGATCTTGCAKTATAGAATTTTTAATGACTTCTTTGTTTCATTTTAAGATCACTGAGTTTCATCTACATGAATTCATGAATCATTAAGTATAGAAGTGGCAGCACTTCTCTAGTGGTTTTGTTATCCTATTACTRTAGAAAGCACCTGAATTTGATACCAGTAGTGGTAATTCTCACCTCTRTCAATGTTTCTATATTGCCTATGAAAAAGAGGGGATAAGAAGGCTCAATTACTTTAAGCAGTAGGTTTTAAGGAAGATTTTTAATCTCTAGAACATAGAAATGAAGAAGAATGCAGAAARGAAACTTAAATCAGACAGACTTTTAAAATAGCCCAATTCTTATGAGTGTGAACATAAAGTCACAAGCTTGGTACCACTGAGCACTCATTCCTGCAGATATCTTGTTATACAGGATACCTTAATATATCTTACATATATGTTTGTATTATACAATATCTTAGTATATTCTTTTCTTCCATTTTTCTTGGTCTGATCACATGAAAAATCTTACCTTTAATAATTTCTTCAGTCTTTTAACATGATTGATTTGTTTAACAAAAGTGTCTTATTTATTTATTTATTTATCTATCTATTTATCTATTTATTTATTTATTTATTTATTTATTTATTTATTTATTTATTTATTTATTTATTTATTTTTACCTCAGAAGAGCAGTTCTGTAACCTAAAGTATTGCTTCTTTATAGAAGCAAGTTAATAGCTAAAGTGTTATTTGAAGCAGGACTGCTAGATGACCCAAATTGGAAAGAGGATGCTTTCGTTATATTGAAGTAAGTAGCATTAATATTTGGGCCTATATAAAGGAAAGCCATTTCAAATAATTTTTAGGAAAACAGACTTAAGAAAGTATTATGAAGAGAAATGTAARAAAAGTTAGAAGAAAATTATTGTACATCTTCCTGCATTATATGTACTGATTGCTTTTCCATTTGCTACTTAAATGACACAGAASAGGAGTTATTAGAAGTTTCCCTGATGTATAAATTATCACCAAGCAATTTTTTATTGTTCAATTTTGTAAAGAGTTTTTTTCCTTCTTGTAACAATGAAAAACTTGCCAAAATGATATTCATCGTGAARAGTATGTTCAAAGGCCTTTTAGTCATAAATAAGATCCAGAGAGTTGAAAATCCTATTCTATGTTGTTGGTACTAATGAAAGTCTAGGTAGTGGCACTGACAGTCAATAGCCAGTGCTCTGTTATGTTGCTCACAGTAATAAATATAGAATATAAGCAGTCTAGAGTAAACAAAACCAGAAACCTTTTGAGTTTCTTCCTGGATATACTTCTTGTTGTCTGAGGGAATTTGCAGTCCTTTTTCTTTATGAACAGTTTGTAAACATGCTACTTCTGAGGAGGCCTAAAGAAAGAGTCACTTGGTTACTTATAAAATGGGAATTAGAGCATGTTATGGACGTTCATTAATGATTCAGGAAGATAGGTTTCAGTTTCCCCTCCTTCCTTTCACAAGACAAAATCCAATCAATACTATTCTTTCAAGGTCACAACTGATGTTTGGTCTCTGTCCTTCCCATAACCCTTTATCCCTAACATATAAGTATTTTGGAGGATTTAATTACTTATTTAATCGAGGTTGTCATCAATAACTTCCAGTGTAGTCAGGCATATTATTACAATACAGGGCTCAGCCCTAATCAGAGCACATGGAAGCTATGTTGATGAATGTCTTTGGTTCACACTGGTTGGAGGTCATGATAGGGGCTTTTCCACTCCCTTCCCATTCCCAGTAATCCTGGCAACATATGGTGGACTGAAAAGGATGTTCTGACTTGAAACAATTTTAGGATACTTCTCAGATAGTGATTTTTTGAAGTTTGTAAAATTGGGTTACGCTTGAGAAAATGATGTTTCTGTGAGAGAAAGGATATTTTCACTGCATAGGTGATAGTCCTTTGTGCTATAGTCCTTCATACCATATTTTGGCATTTGTTTTCCAGAACAAAAGATATATGAAAAAAATAGTTAATTGTTATTTTTTCTTGTTTGGAAAGTGGTTCAGTTTAGGCTAAGTAAGCTTGTCGCAGGCTGAATAACTAACCTCACTCCCTGAAGGTATATTTGAATCCTAAGGGGAGTCCCAGATTCAGTATTTTAATTGCAGGAAGAGAAACAATGTTCCACTGATGGGAATGGAAACCTTTCTCCTTGTAAAACAGCTTTCCTGTTTYGAGAAATAACATAAGCAGTCACCCACAAATACAGAACACTATCTTAATTATGCTTTTGTTCAGAATCTCATTAGAGTATTCTCTCAGCCAAGYGTTTCCTTTCTGAGCAAGCAAGCTACTAAAATACAGGTTAGATAGATAGTCTGATGAGAGGCAAGGGAAGCTTTTCTTTCTTTACTGCATTTTCATGTAGGCATCATATTGTAGAACAGGATCTACTTTTAAACAACTAAATTCTTTAGTTTAAAAGTGATATTTAAGAACTGTTGACTTGGGTGGAGTGAGCTGAGTATGTTTCTAGTAGCTGAAAAGGTTGTTTCAGGGTAGTTCAGCAAATAAAATTTAAGTCATTGTCTCTTACTTCTCTCGTTGTGTAGGAAATTCAGACAGTATAAAAGCCTGTAGTGTGGCAGAATTCTGAATTATCCTTATCAATTCCAAAGTGAGCTTCTGGAGATCAGCTTTATTGTAGAACTTTATGAAAATAGTTAATGGTGCCCGTTAAACACTATGGATCCAAATTTACTGTGGGTTGTAGTGCTTAATCTGTCAAAGAATCTGCTCTTTTCATGTTACTCATTCTACAGATTTTTTATTTAATATGTCTGAAATCATAAAATGCTGTCAATTGAAAATCTATTTCTATTGTTTTTCTGTGTGGAATGAAGACCTTATTGTTAATGTGGTTTCCAAGGAAAAACCTGTTCACTGACTCAAATCTTGTGGAGTCTGTTGGAGAACATATGTTTGTTTGTATGTGTAGTTACACTAATTTTCAAGCAATATAAGTAAATGAGTGATACTGAGCCTTGTTATTTGGCTGGCATTTGATTTTACTTGTTGTTTATTTTCAGATGTTTGGCCCTACACTGAATTTGTGATGTATGTTCATGTCTACTGGCTACCTCTGAAAAACAAATAAGTTATAATTTTGTTTATAGTTTTTCAGTTTGCCCCTACTAAATTCGTATTTTCCAGTTATGAAGAGTRTTTTATAATCATGAAGATTGGGTACCTGAGAAATTGGGAGAGAGAGACATGAACTTAGAAGTCKTCTGTTATAGTCCCAGAGACTCCCCATTTTGAACTACCCGAGTCTAAAGGAAAAGGGGAGACTGATTTCTTGGCTGCATTGGTACCTCCCGTGTYATGAGAGCAGTAAGGGAACATGATGTTTGGCCACTTGGAGAAGTTGTAAGAAGTACGGTTGATTAAAGGTTGGTTCTCACACTAGGAGTAAGGAGTAGGGGCAGATGCTGAATGAGCTGCTTTGAGGTTACCTCTTCGGAGAATTCTTTAATGCAGTGAATTAGCTGCTTCAGGTGCTGAGTCAAGTTTTTGTTGTGTGTATGAGCCCCAACAAAAATTATAACCCCAAACAAAATCCATAAACAGCAGGCAAAGAAAATCTCTGTGCAGTATGACCAAGGACTGACCCATGRCTTCTGCAAGAGATATCCAAACATAAGGTTTTTGTTTTTGGAAGCCTGGAATATATACGAAGAAGAATTGGGCCAGTGGCTGGAGATTTCTTGTCAGTGCTAATTATAAAGCACGATATTGTGATTGTTTCCTAAACATACTTACATTGAGGAGGATCTCTGTAGCTCTAAAACATGTGAGGGCTGTATCTAGTTTAATTCAATATCATTTAATCCAAAATATCAGTTAATAGTGACAGCCATTCTCGTAACAGTGCTTCAAAACTTGAAAATACAAACTAGAAACAGTCTGGAAATATCTCAGTGTATTTTCACAATAGATGGTTTTGTCCTGAAAACTAGGAAGATAATGCAATTGGTAATGTAAATGTAAAAGAAGAGTAGACTTGACAATTGCAAACCAAACCCTGGACCTTGCATTAATGACAATGCATTCCATTCCAGTTCATGGTGAAGTAAAAGGAGTTGGTCTGGTAGATCAAATATGGCTTTCATTGCAAGACTGCGATAATGAAGGTGAGATGATAAAGCTATTCAGACTCCTAACCTATAATAAGCAGTAATTATGTTGTTTTTTATATATATAATAAGTGAATTTGGGGATTTTTTTCCTCTTAGAACTGATATAATTCTAACATACTACACTTATTTTCAGTTTTATTTCCAATATCCATTTATATGTGTGTGTGTGTGTGTGTGTGTGTGTGTGTGGTTATGTAAAATATATACATATGTGTATATATGTATATGTCTATGTGCATATATATCAGTCATATACTTGTGTATATACATACATACACACTTTTCTTGGTAAATAAAATACATATACGCTCAAAATTGTGGGAAAAAAATAGTGATGCATTTTAGGTTCCCTTACAAATCTGGAAATTCAGGGATTTGAACAGAAGTTGAAAAATATAATGTTTTATTGAAATATTTGATAAATTGGGATGGAATAAATAGTAGTATGAGAATTAAATTTGCTCTAGAAATCCAATGTTTAGCAGGAATCCATGTAGTATAAGTAAGCCCAGTTGTAGACCTGGGGCAAAATCCCAAATATCATGTTTAGACTGTTTCTGGGGAGAGATTTTCTGCATTTTTTTTTTCCTAAAATATTCTCAGTCATCTTTTTCAGTCTATACAGGACTAAAATCAAAGGAGTTCTCAAATAGGTATCAATATATTTTTTAGACAGAATGTCCAAAATTGCTTTCTGCACTATAAACACTGTCTTGTGGAACCAAATCTAAATAATTAGAACTGGCCAGATACCAGGCTTTTCTGTCATACATTAGCAAGATGAGTACAATTATTTTGAAAATTTTTTAACAAGCCACATTAGTAGCATAGAGTTCATATAACTGACTCACTCTTTCCATTTCATTTAACCTCAAGTAATCAAAAATAATTTAATTTGGTATTAACTGTGAAGTGTCCTCCCTGGAGAGTAGAAATAATGTGTGATTTGCAACTGCTGTATCATTTTACTTGCTTCTGGGGGAAAACACCTAACCAGCATTTGAATCTGTGGAGATACTAATAAAGCAAAGGRAGCCTCCTTTGTATAGAGTACATTCTTTGACCCTAGTGGAAAAGGTATGGACATTGTATGTATATTTAGAACTCTCTTTTCCCTCTTCCCTCAAATAGAGTGGCCTAATCCGTATTGTGTGTGGGGGGATTTGTAGTCATAACTTGTGCTGTCCTTTGAGCCTTACCAGGACATTGTCTGGGAGAGTGCTATTTAGCTCAACCTGGAACAGGACCGTGATTAATATAGATGAAGTAGTTGTGGATAAAAAAAAATGGAAGTTCGTATGTCCCTGCTGAAGGCATGGCCACACATGTGGCTGTGTCTGTTTTTTCACTAAAAATGCAAGGGGATTTATGGCTGAGGACTGGGCTTCTTCACTGCTGCTTCTTKGGTATGGAGAGGGATGTCTCCAAGGAAAGCATCAATCCCTCTTACTTCATCCCTGCAAGCATTTTTTGACCTTACTAAGGCTGTAAGAAATCTTTTTTCCCCATGGAAGTAGGGAAATTCAGGAGGCACAGATCAGGAATAGCTCAGAATTGCTCCATTTCTTGCCTGAATTTGCCCCTTCAAAGCTTTTTGTTTTAGGGGTTCTTTGGGGCTTTATAGAGATCTTTGGAATTTCATTCCAAAGTTTGCTTCATATGTGGAAAGAGGAAAAGATTATTTCTGTTGCTTTTCAAACAACTCAGAAATCAATGTGCATGGTGCATCAATGGTGGCAAATAATTAGGATCCAAATAGGATTTATAGCATACAGTGTGCCAAAGCACATCAATGAGGAACCCAGCATCTCCAGTTGTGGGAATATAGTTTCAAATAGGAAAACATCTTACTCAGTTCCTTGCTGGCAGTTATGGTAGTAAGCATCTGAACATGTTATCCATTATAGGCTCATGTCTCTAATATATTTCATGTTAATTAAGATTCTAATTACATTGTATCATTTAGTAAAATTGTTAACTTTCTCACATAAAAAAGTTGCTTTGTCTTTAGGGAGTTTTTTTGGCTGTAACTTAAACACAGTGTGCCTGTAAAATATATGTGTTTACTTCTGACATAGAAGGTGTAGTAAAAGATAACATTTTTAAGTATGAAACAGAGCAAGAGCTTTTTTTTATTATTATTATTTTCCCCCAAAGTGTGTCTTGGTTAAAAAAAAAAAAAAAAAAAAAGCAGTAGTTCCTTTGTACTTCTTTGAAGAGCACTTCTTTGAATTGAGATCCTTTTTGTGCCCATGTGTCTATAAAACTGGAAACAAAGCAAATCAAGGACAGCCTGGAATAAGTGCACATTGTTTTTACTTTGTCTCCACAGGGTTGTTCTTCAGGAGTCTTGACTGCTTTATTTAGCCCCAAGCTGTGCAATATTTTCTCTTCAAAATATTCTCCTCCTTCTGTGTTTGGGAGTAGTGACAGGATTTTGTCCAGCCAAGCAGTCTTTTCAGTTTAATCCCAAGTAACTGCAGTACTTGGAAAGAGAGAAAAGTCCGTGGAGCTTTTGCCAAGGTGTTGGCGTTATGTGTGCGTACCTCAGGCTGCCTGCGGAATGCATGTCCTGTGTTGGGATGACATCTCCTCATGGAGGTGCAGGATAAGGAAAATGATAAGGGGCAGGGATGACATCCATCTCCTCATGGAGGTCATCTCTGTGCCTTATCCTTTTCCTTCAAACTTCATGTTTGTGAGGAAGAACTCATTTGGAAAGACAAGTGTTCCCTCCCTGTGCTATGGTGGTAGAATTTATGGTAAGAGACAGTTAAAGATTTGGGGGAGGGGATATTCTCTCCTTTTTATTTTTATTTTTATTTATTTATTTTTTTTTTTATGCTGAAAAGTAGATGCACACAAAAGGCAAAGTTGTATTCATGGGGCAAATAGGTGATTGGACTAGCTGGGGTGTGGCTCTTGTTTCCTTGCTTTCACTTTAATATCCCTGACATTCACCATGCTACTATGCTGAATTTATGCAGCACAGATAAGTTTAAGATTAAAGGAAGATTTAAGCTGGAAGTATATGAACAGTAACTGTTGTAAAAGAAGGTGACTGAGGTTAATAAAATAAAAAGAACAGAATTGTTTTACTAGATGCAGTCAGTGATTAGCATATGTGTCTTACAAGAAGTACTCAGCCTGCACAGATTCAAGGTAAAATGTTGTTGGAAGGAAGCTGGAGAACTGTTCAGCAACAGCTATGAGGTCTGTAATGATCAAAGGAATTGATATTATTGGAAGGCAATATTTAGCAGAATAATCTCATTATAAGTGAATATATATCATTACTGTTCCATCACTCTTCTTATTATACTAGAAGAAGCAACGTTATTTCCTATCAGTTCTAGTCAAAAATACCATATATGGACTACCTATTGATCTTTGGAATTAAATAGGCTAAATTCTTGGTAGAGTGTGCTTTCAGTGTTCAGACAGAGAGAGACAGAATAGTTTCCAAGTTGACAACGATTCTGTTTTTCAAAGAGCTTAGACGTAATTATGCTATGTCCTTCATGTGCTCTGATCTTATTTTTTTGTGCCTGTGAATTGACACTTGTCAAAAGTGCACTTCTGTAGTAGCATTTCTGTATTTTACATGCATACTGATGAGTGTATTAAACACAAATACTAGGGATRTCATAAGGTAAACAGCCTTTTTTCTTAACTGCTTTGACTTTTCAAGGACTTGCAGGAAGCTTTGAGAAAACATTCCTTGAAATACTGATTAATCTCTTGGGCATGCAGTGTTTCATGCACAAGAAGCGTGAAATAACCTGCAGATATCTAAGTTTTAAAATGTGCGTGCAGACTGTAACTGTTACACCCTTTTCTTTGAAGTGGGCTTCTTACTAAGGTGTGTTCTTTCGTAGTTCTGTTTCTGCAAAATTTCTGAGTTCRGAGTGTGAGTTCATTCACACTCTCCCTTTCCACTTTAACCTGCCCCTGAATTAGAGGCTGTACAAAATGTACCCATTGACTAGCTCTGAGAGCTGGTGGTTTCAGCTTAAGGTTTTAATGTCCTTGGCTGTCACTAATCAATAGCAAGCGGAGCAAGTATAGCATCGGCAGCAATATTATAAAAGGAAATGTCTGTTGGATATTGTGCTGGAAGACAAGAGGGTAATGACTGTCCTTGAGAAAGATGCAGTATATTCTCCTTAAGAATGCTGAGCACAAATGTTTCATTTTCTGCTGTCTGCTTGGAATTTGAGCACATCTTCCAAACTATCATACAAGAAAATAAAAYAAATACTCCTAATTAGACCAAGTTAAAACAGATTAAGATATTAAGTGTTCATTGTTTGCAATGTAGGAGGCTGTTAGCCTGAAACTTTTTTTGGTCTCTAAAATGCTGAGTAGACAGGCCAAGTTTTACTGTCTCGTGGTCTTAACTCATTTAACACTGAGAACAGCTTTATAGGGTCCTCTATGAAAGTATTTATAATTCTGTTTGACCCCCTTCCTAGTTTTATGAACTTGTGGATCAATGAACTAAACCATTAAATAAATTGATTTAAACCATTAAATTTAGATACAACTAAACCATTAAATAACTGCCTGAAACAGTGTTGTTAGTGGCTCCAATTTTATAAACCTGTTTGGAAATCTCATGCAGCATCCGTAAAATGGTAAGCTATGTATTTGTATCTGTGCAGTATAAATATAATCAGGAGAGGAAAGACAAGTAGTATTGGAAGAGAACTCTTTTTAAAATACCTTAGTATTTTGAAAAATTATAAAGGAAAACTTAAAAGTTGGTTTTGGTTTACTGTAATTAGTTCTCAGGCTAATATATTCTCTTGTTCACTGTCTTCTGAGTATCTTACGTATGTAGAACAAGCAAGGGGTTCAAATCTCTTTATCTTCATGTGCAAGAAGATGGGATTTTTAAGCTTTTCTGGTCATAGTTTCTACAGTTACTAAGTAAATGCAGTCACTGGAAAATCTTATCAGAGAAGGAAAGCTAATGGGAAATTCAGATACAGATTCTTCTGGGAATTCCTGGCCTGTAATAAGATCGAGTGTGTCTTAAGTCTCTGTATTTAACTTTTATATTTTCATTTCTTTGTTTTTTATTCAAGGTTCTCTCTTTAGACAAAAATAATTAAAATTTTTATCATTAGCATATTTAATGACATGAATGAAAAATATTATCAGAGATCCTCACAAGATCTAAAGAATATTTTATTTAAAAAGAAAAACAGAAAATAACAGAAAATACTGCATTTAATGATTAGATTGCAAAGATACTCTCATCCATGCAGAATTCCAAAGTAAAAGGATAATTTTCTTTGGACATCTTTATCTTCTGCAGCCTTTAAAGAAGGCTTTGCTTTAACAAAACAGGACGAAACAGGACATTATTCTTTGTGCAATATAAGTTCCCCAGAAATCTACCCATGATCGTCTTCTTGCTTTTCAGTAAGAATGCAGTGACATTTTGTCCTCATTTTGCCAAAGTATTAGCCAGCACTGATGTTTAAAGCAGAGGCTCAGGTCCAAGAAGCAAACTAGGAATGAATTATGTCATATAATTTTTTACTTAAAATCAGAAATTGACAAATTTGATAAGCACATCTTTTTAGGTAATGCAGCAACATTTTTATTTCTGCCTTTCACTCAGCAGTTGGAGCTTTCTCCACATAAATCACTGTTCATTTAAAAGGGATTAGGGATGCACATCATGTTACACTTGATTGACTCAAAGTTGGAGAAAATATTAATGTAAGTTGCTTTTTTTTTTTTTTTAATACTCATGTGGATCAAACATCATGTGACGTTCTTGTTAGGATGAACCATATGTACGTGGTGAGGAGAGAAAGGATACGTAACATCCTAGGAACCTGCACAACATTTATTTTGCTTGTGCTTTTCTTTGAACACTTGGGTTTACATAGGTGACCTCTGAATTTATGCATTTCTTCAGACATCTACAAAAATATTTGGAGAGCAGAATATGAAAGGTAGTTTCTCAATTCCGTGAAGTTATCATTACAGAAATCTTTTATTTGATCTGACAGAGTGCAGATCAGATTTTAAATGATCAAGAGGGTTCGCTTTTAAGCCTCTAATTTATGTAGGAGTCAGGAATATATGATGTTTCATATAGTGATGGATTAAAAAGAATCTTGCACAAATAAAGTTTACCTTCTTGCTTGGCAGTGTGGTTCAGAAGACGCTGTATCGTAACCATTTCTGTGCTGAATTTCTTAGGTGGAGGCTCACAGAGCTGTGACTAGCGACATATGTTGTAGGTTGGCTGTGACTGGTAGAAATTGAGCCCGTGAGTGTCTGACTCTGCCCCTTAGCAGTGACGCTTCCGAATCTGTCAATGACATGTGTTTGATCTTAGAATTGCCTTAAGTGCTTAGACTGTTAGTGTCAGTGTAAAGAAAAATAAATTAGCTTCTTCACACCTGAGAAGGATGGTATTTATGATAGGCTCTTCTTTCAGAATGAGTTCAGTATGTATATTTACTGTGTTTGTTGTTGTTACTGTGCTTTTCTTTATGTGAACCATGTGACTGTTAAATCTAATACTTTGAACAGAAAGGCTCAAAGGAATTGAACTTAAAGGCACTTTATCCAGCTACTAATAACAATAGAGCCTTAGGAAGTGACAAATTATCTGCTACAAGAGGTACAGATCTGCAAAGCTCGTAAGATGGCCAGCAGTGGTACTTCTATAAAGTCAATTGTAGAACTGAGGAAACATTCTGCCTCCCGACTCAATGGAGTCAAATATAATGTCTCTGGAATAATGTATTGCAAAATGCAATGTAAGTAAAGTAAGTAAAATTATTAAAATAAATCATATTTATTTTAAGACTAATAATGATTCCAGTTTAATAATGATAATGCATATGAATAATAATAATGAATTCAGTTTAAAGCACTGTGAATGAGGAGCTGATACGAGTACTGAAGTATCAACACGTTATATTTTAAACTACTTTGTATGTTCTTTATTGTCTTGTAGACATTTGCATCTGAGAGAGACAGATACATAATGTTCCCTTAAAAAATGAATGAAGTTTTGTCATTACTTGTACAGGGAAGATGAATGGCTTTTGTTTTCTCTTCCACTTTTATTTCAAAATTTTATTTTATTTTTATTCTTCAGAGTACTTTTTTCTGCCAGGGAGAGCGGCAGCTTACATAATGTCAGTATTTTTTTGTTTATTTTGTTTTGTTTTGTTCTAAATTAAGGCTAAACTCAGAATCCAGTGCTCCAGCAGCAGCTCGAGCCAAAACAGATTTTTGCCTCAACTTACCTGACAAATTCCTTTAAAACTCTGAGAACCAATTCAACAGCTTGGCAGTTAAGACATGAGAAACCATCTTCTAACTACCTAGTGCCCATAATATTTTGCTTATATTAGCTCAATTACTCCAGATAGAGAGCTAGTGTGCAAATTAAGTCCAGATTGCCCGGTGCTTAGTGACATTTTTTAAGCCTTAAAAAAAGTTCCTTGGAACCATTTTTACAGAAGATTCCTTTGCAGTCTATATATTTACATTTCAACCCCCTTTCTTTTTTTATTTCAAGTTCCCCCAGTGAGAGCCTTCACCTCAACTAACTCTTGTGTATATGTACTTGTGTCCTATTCTTTTTTACATAATTGACTTAATTGCTTTCTGTGTTTCTGAAACCTCATTTAATTCTTCACTAAAACTAAAGCAAGGCTTTTTTTGTGTCAGGGAACACATAAGAAAAGTAAAAGAAATGATTGCCAGATGTATAAAACTGAAGGAATACACCTCCTTTTTGTAGTCATGGTTATAACCACTCAGACATTTAGTAGAAGTGCAGCAACTCTTCTGTTTGTAAATCGGCCTTTAGGATTTGGATTCCACTAGAAATTTGATTYGAAAATTCCAGATTTAGAAATAAAATCTAACTGCATTTATGGTTAATTAACCAGTTGGTGAAGAATATGCACTAGTTGCACTGTTTCTGCCTGGGGAAAAGATAAGTTACTGCTGTGAGGAATGCCCTGTCTCTTTCGTCCTTGTGTTACACTTCTATAGTTACGACTGGATTTTTGTGCCCGTGAGCCCTGCAAACGGTGTGTGAATCTGATTTAGACTGTTAAATCTTTTCATTTTAAAAGATGCATTCAAAATGGTTAATTCCCATGCCTCCAGTAGATCTTGCAAGACTCCTCTGTGGGCTTGTTCACCCTGGTAGTCTTTTCAGGTGAGAGTTGTGGATTTGATTCTTCTTCTCTATTRTTTTTTTGTGCTTGCTGATGCAAGAAAGAATATAAGCAGATCTATGGTCTGCTTGTGTTTTGCATAGTAGTGTTTACTGAATTCATCATTTAATAACTTACCAAAATGCAAATTCAGAAACTACTTTAAACAGTATTTGGGTTTCACAGTGGTTGACCAGAACAGGTAAGACAAAAACTCCATGACCAGAAAACTTTCACCTCAGTGGTTTTTTTAACAACATGGTGTAGCTGGGGGTATTTGTGAAGAGAAATTTTGTATATAAAATATATACAATGACTATGCACACATATATAGTCTTATATATGCGCCACATCTGTATATGTTTGCATACACACATACAGTCTTGTGCACATATGTGTATATATAGGTGTCTACCTATGACTCACACATTTAACAAAACAGAAACCCAAAGAGTCAGTCTGAATGGCCTAGAAAATTTGAAGGTAAGGTAGCAGCCATGCAATAGCGTTAAATACTAGACTACCAAAAACCTGTTTATAATTGTCTTTTTTCCCTCTAACTCTTAACTTCCAAAYGTCCCTCATGGAATTACCTGGGAGATAATGATTAAGCATGTCCAAGTGAAAATACCACAGAAAGGCCTGGATTAGCCTGTTGCCTTTGTACAACCTGTAGGTCTGTCAGTCTGCAGCATGCATAAAGGTCCAAATGTTTAGAAACATGAATTTTTCTTAAACATTATAATAGACTTTTAGGGCTATGATGTTAATACTCCATGTGATGATTTGAATTTTCAGAAAAAAGGTTTTGAATTCTCCCACTGGGAATTTCATGTTCTTGCACTATGCCAATGGTGTATTAATTCCGTTCAAGATCTCAATGTATGTGAAAGGAAGCTGTAGAAGTAGCAAGGGCTGGAGTAATCTAAGCTGCATTAAAGGGACAGGTTGCATAAACAATATAGCATTCCTTACAAGTTCTGAAGATACTCATCACTATATGTGGATATGACCTTACAAAACTCATCTTCTCAAGGTTAATGAGCTTTTCATTTTAGCCTAGCTTTCACCTCCAATGAAAAGAGTCCCTGTGCAGAAGCCTGGCAGTTCTGAGATCATACATGCCTGCACTGATAATGTGTTTTTACCTGTGAATTGGCCAGGTCTCTGTTTTTGTTGGCATGTTGCTCTAAATCATAGCAATTGTTTCAGAGAAAAGGAATTTTGCCCACACCTATATGGAAATTTTGTAGTGAATTGAAATTGGCGTGTTCAGTTTCTGAATGTGCCATTACCTACTTCCACAGTGGAAGCACTAGGAGTGTCTCAAGGTTAAGCACAGCAAATGCAATGTAACTGAATTAGTCATTGTTAATTGCTTTCGGTCAAAATCAAGTTCTCTTGAAACTGGTAGGAAAACTCCCCTTGACTTAAGGGAAATCAAGATCTGGCATTGCATCTTGGGTTGTTTGGGGCGATGTGGAATGTTGATAAGCTTTCAGTTCTCTATAAGCTTTCCAAACTTAATGAAGCAAGGTTAAAACAAACAGAACTACTGATGAAGTTTATGTTTGCAGGAACATAGTTCAACTCACTTTTTTTTTTTTCCTTCAAATATCATTAGAACAAGTAATGGTGACTGTCAACAATGATGTACATAATAACTCAACTGCATCTGATAACAACAGACTGGGTAAGATAATGCTGTTCTAGGAAGTTTTCATGATATAGAATTAGATATTTGGATTTAATACAGAGGCAGACATGGTTTTCTTTAAAGCTATTCTCCATAAACAATGAGGTAACATCCAAAGGATAGGTACATATGTTTCTAAACCAAACATGATCTGGAGCTTTTACTTGTGTTTTAATTTGCCATTTCCTTTTAGTTGTTGATTTTAAGTTTCTATTATATTGGGGAACAAATCAATTAATTAGGTAATCACATARGATTTTTCCCAATTCCACTTTTTTTTTTCCTGCTCTTGAAAAGTCATCTGATGTCATTAAGGGCAGCAACCTGTTTGGAGCAGGCAAAGGATACTGAGCACACACATCTAAGGTGTGAAACAGCAMATGCAGAGGACCCTGACGTATRTACAATAATCCAGTGATATAGCTGGGTTCCCTTCACTTAGTGAAGAATGCAAAGGAGAGAGACCTTGATTGTACACTTGGGCCTGCTCTCTGTAGGCAGCAAGCCTGGCTGCTCTTCTGCCCATGTAAAACATAGAGTCTGGTTAGAAGATACTAGAAAATATTCATATGGAGCTATAATGAAATATATCATGTGCTAAGGAGTTACATTCCTTACACATTTTTAATTAATTAATAAAAACCTTGGCCACAAGATAGAGTTAATGTTGTCTGTTTCATAAAATCATGTGTTGTTTTTTATTTAGTATTTTGTGTATGCCTAAGATGCACTTTATGTGTTTGATTGTGAAGTATTCATTTGTGTTTGATCTTTTGTATTAATTTTTGTCTTTTTTTTTTTTAAACATGATTTCTCATATTTTATTTTGTTTCTTTTAGGTTTTGTTTTATTTCATAAGATCCCACTGGATGGGTAAATGAAATAAGGAAAAGATGAGAGAGGGGCTGTTGAGCTTGTTTGTGGAAGCTGTTTGCTGCACACTAGGGAGTGGACAGTGTTCTTACCCAGTGAAGTGCCACCTCCCTTGGACTTCTCTGTTAGACATTGGCTGTGTTGGGAGAATTCTAGAAGTACATTCAAATCAGTAGCTGTTTTTGCAACAGCAGGGCAAAGCCAGCCCTGAGGCAGCTATAAAACTCAAGAAGGTCCGGATATAAGCTACCGCACTGTTTCCTATCACCATGTTCTTACTGTGTYTTCAAAATGACATTGAGATGAAATTATGTCACGTTGTTTCCTCTGTCAATTTTTTTCCTGTTTGAACTTAACTGGAAAAATGTTGGGTTTATAAATAATATTTATCAAAGGTGAACTGCAAAGTTGCTTTTATTCAGTTACTGTCTTTGCAAAACCCTTCCACATAAGCTTAATTGAGTGTGTGTGTGTGTGTGTGTGTGTGTGTGTGTGTGTGTGTGTGTGTGTGTGTGTGTGTGTGTGTAATCCCACTGGTTTCAGAGAGAGTTCTCAGATACTTAAATTTGTTTATATACACAGGATTTCAGGATATGGTCTAAAGTCCTAAAGCAGTAAATTGTAGACTTGACCCTGCCAAGCTAATTTATGTACGTGGTTTCACAGACTTCATAAGGAAGATTATGAAGAGTATGCATTGTATGCGTAAGGCAGGTAGTACTATTGTGTTAGTGCTTTAGGGTTTTGAACGAGTGCTGTTGCTTCAGTGCGAATCATCCTGTTAGCCCATGCTTATTCGACCTAGTAAGTCTTTAAGTTTGGGTAAATGTACAAATCTTTTGTACGCCAGAATGCTGAGTCTAAGCCAAATGCAAGATTAACAAACTCTACTATTGGTCCATTAGACTATATACTTACAGGCTATATACTTACAGGCTGGCTTAACAGTTCAGAGAAAAGCACTGTAATGAGTAAAGCTAAGCAAAGGTGCAAGCCTTTTGCAAGTACAAGGACTACATTTAGGCACTAGAATAGAGTTTCATTTTTGCACTATTTAGCTGTCATGTCTGGAATTTATACTTTGATCTTTTAAATTTAGGAAATTATTATTAAAAAAAAGACAAAGGTTTTGTTATTTTTTGTTTAGGTGAAAATAACTTAAAAAAACTAGTAGTAAAAGCCTGAAAGAAAACTATAGCTTTTTATGCATTTTGATTACTTTTGTGAGATTTGTTTCTATTACAATTCCTTACAGTAACACTTATATGAAAAGAGGAAAAAAAAAAAAAAAGCGTTCTCCCTTCTGCGATTTCACTATTTTTGCTTTTCATTTTCAATCACTTTCACTCTTCCACTGAAGCATTCCCTTTCTTGCTGCAGTCTTTTTCAGTATACACCATCCTTCTCTTTCTGAAGAACTGTGTATTGTGTCTGGTTTTTTTTTCCAGGCATTTTTGTTCTTTCTCAAAAAACTAACTCTCTCTTTGCCTTTTGACAATAGTAGTCCGTGACTTTTTCATTACATTCTCTACAGTCTCCCTCTCATCCAATTTTTTTCTTCCTGCTGTGCTTAAATTTTGGGGAATATCCTTATTAGTCAAGAAACATATTCACATTTGCATTCTTCTGGGACTATGTAGTAAGATATTTCTTCTCTATGTCATTGGTTAGGGAGGGGAAGTTGAAATTGCAGTGATTTCTTCCCTTCTCCAAAATCTGTCCCAAAGATGTGTTTTCCTCCCCACATTATAAGAAGAGGCCAGAGCTGGAAGTCTAGTGGTAGCCCAGGAATCCTGGTGTCTTTGGTCACCCAGCACATACTGTGGTGATTTGGGGAGGGATGGCAGCAATTAAGGGTATTCATCATAGTCACTGTTTGAAGTAGATGTCAACAAGTGTTTTCTGCTCCTCAGAAAAACAAAACAGTAAAATGTCTGCTTTTTAAAAAATAATTCTTTTTTTTTTTTTCTCCTTGCTAAGTCTGTGTGGAAATGGTCTTATTTTGTAGAGCTGCTAACCTTCTCTTCTGCTAACTGATTCCCTCATAACTTACTTCATTTTTTTTTACAGTCTTTTTGCTTTTATCTCCCCCTTTTTAAATGATAATGAGCTGGGTCTAAATCAATAATTAGATCAGCAATATTTGAACTAAAGTCAGTGGAGTTGCATTGAGCATGAACTGGATAAAGAACAGAGATTGACCTAGTAGCCCAGATTGCAGGATTAAATTTTGCTGGGACAAAGTCAGCATATTTCAGTTATATAGTCACAATTAATTGCCAAATAAATGAGGTGAGAATCTGTTCCCTTTTCTTTGGCAAGGAAAAGACAAACTTGTTTAGTTGGAATTTAGCAGACTTTTTTTAARCATTGCATTTTTTGAAAGATAGTTTTTTCTGATTCATAATATTTATGTGCACACAAGTGGGCACACTTACTGATGTGGGATTTTACACATCTTTGTAACTTATTTTGTGGCACTTTGCAGTTCATCTTTAAGGTATAGCAGTAGGTTTGACCTTCAACTATTTCAGCATGTACTGACAGTATTTTGGATTTTATGTAATCATGGAGGTAACTTCAATAAACCACAACTGATTTATGCACCGCTGGAATATATATATTTATATATATATATAGTAGATTATCCTTCTTACATATTTTGTACTATGTCTTTTATATTAGTCAGTGCACTATTGATGCAGATATTCACAGAACCTTATGGATTACAGCACGTGATTTGTTACTAATCATGTCTTAATGCAGATGTTTAATGCTTGACGGAAAAAAAGACGACGTATTCCTAAAATACTTTCTTTTTGGTATGTGGACAGAAACTGCTAAAGCTAAGGAGAACTAAATTTTAGTGGGAAAATTGTAGTGCCTGCTAGCTCCTGTTCTTCAACTTGATTCACAATGTTGCTTGTAACTGTAGAGATTCTGATCTGCCCGAATGGTGTTGGTTTACAAAGGGCTCAGCTAATTACCAAATTCCTGACCTCTTTAAAATAAAATGAGACTCAAACTAAGTATTGTGCAGGAACCATTAACATGGCAAAAGTTGCTGAATGTCCAGGATTTGATACTAAAAAGCTTTTATACTGTCTTCACTCAGCAATAAAAAAGTCTATCAAACATTTAAAGATAGAGGTCTTCTGTTTTTTTTTTTGTTTTGTTTTTGTTTTTGTTTTTATATTCAATTTTGAGAGAGAGAATAAAATAAAAACAAAATAAAAACATATTTCAAGTATTCTCTTAGAAGAGTTTGTTTATGCTAGAATTGACTTTAAGTTGAAGTTCAAAACACTGGGAGAACAACTGGGATTAGCAATGGGGCAGTTTYGCAGGAAGATGACTTGCATGCAAGAGCCTTGGGGTGGGTTTTGATGTGAGCCGGTGTGAATTCAGGTCTCCCCAATAAAMGGCATCCCTGCCGCATTCAGAGGAGGTTTCCAGCGCCGGGCAGCCCGCGTAGCCAYGAGGCAGGCCCGCAGCCTGTGCTGCGCCAACCCTGAGCTTTTCCCACGGGAAGGCCTTGGAGCCAACGGCCTTTCCAGCCAGAGGGTGTCCAGGTGTCTCAGTGCACACAGGGGGCTCAGCAAGCCTTCCCCCAGCCCATCAGCTGGACYGCTCCCGTACAGCAGTGAAGAAAAACATTCGTTTCAGTGGGAGCAAGAGCCTTTGGGGCAGTAGACGTTGCCAAGAATATCTGTGGACAGCTATTTGGAAATGGTTCCACTTCAAATATTTCTTGCAGGATTTTTGACTGTGAGTAGAAGCACTGAAAAAAGAAAAAAGAAGCCTGTGGCACAGACACTTTCTAAAAACAGTTTTTCAAAGAAAAAGATTTCAAAGACTTATGAAATGTGCCATAGAAGAGTGACTTATGCATTTCCTACTGCCCAGAGCAACGTTCATGCAACAGGCCAGTTTGTCCCTTCACCCAGACACCTATGACATGGTGACTGTTAATTGCCATTAACTGACTACTGATTGTAGTCCCTGCTTGATTGCAGCTGTTCAGCTAATTAAAGGCTTACAAATGGTTTGTAAAGTTGGAGACCGTTATCAAGTAAATTAATTTCTGGTACCTTTTAAATTCAGACCACTATTTTCTGTGGCAT